ATTTGAACGAACCAATCTTTAACAGTTCAAATGCCCCTGGGTTGCCCCGGGGGATGTTGGAGCTTCGAATGGATCGACACGTTACATCTTGAGTCAAACGATAATGCTTCATCATAAACTGTCCTTGTTGTTTCAGTACAAGAGGTTGGTGTGTCAAAACCCACACTACGCGACCTGCTGCCATTCAAAATGACGCTCTGGCTGATTGGGTTCTGTACGTCACTGCCTGAGCAATATCGGGCTATGGTGGAATGCTTGGAAAAAAGAAGGATGGAAAAGATTGAGGAAGAGGATGAAGATGACGATGATGATGATGAATTGGAAGGTGAGTTGGTTGGTTGTTTTTCTCCCTGTTAGTGGTATTTCAAGTCACCACCCGCAGTCGTGTGATTTGCAAATTACTTTCCTTGCATTTTAAATCCGCAAATTTAAATAGAGCTTCCTTTAAATCACTACTGGCATTTTAGAATTGTCATTAGAGAAACAGCCCTTAGAGCTAAAAAAGGCGCAAAGAAATTTTATGCGCTGTACAATGTAAATTATTGCAGAAATGGCGCTATGAACTTGCCCACGTTTCGGTTTTGTTTTACGAAACGCAGTCTAAAAGCAATGGTCCTTAAGAGACTGGCTGTAATCTTTCCTTGTGATGTTTTTTTTGTCTTGTTTGTTGCACTGATTTCATACTTTCCGCTGCTGTTATTAGTGTTTGTGATGTAGTTTGTGTTGTTGTTGCAATTTAAACAATGTTATCCGGCAAAAGTGCAGCCGCTACATTGATTTATTTGTTTTTAGGTTTGTAAGGAGCTCGCACAACTACTTTTGGTTTGAAGTTGAAGCTATTGTGCAATTGTTTCAAGGCTCCCAAAAAACTTTTAACTATTTTTGTGTATATTAATTTAATTTCGAAGAAAAACCATCAAGACCACGAAGGAGACAGAGAGTAAACATTCCACAGGAAGATACAGAAGATAACAGCTGGGAGGGTGCTCCTGTCACCAATGTGTTAAAGATGGCCACAGATAACGGCGACCATTCTGCTGTAACAGAGAAGGTATTGGATGCGGTGATCTTCTGATTCAACAGCATTGTTAGAGCTTGCAGTTTAGCGTTGTTTTTCTGTTGTTTCTATTAGATGTGTTTGGTCACATTTAAGTTCAGAACTAGAAGCGAACATAAGAAAAATTTCCTTTACAAATTCCAGTCATGGCCTGTCTGTTTAGTATAGCGCAAAAGAGAGATTGTTAGTTAACAACTATTCGACGAAGTAGAGGTGACTAGTGGTGGATATTTACCGAACTGCATAGTGGCAAAGGTAATATCAACCGCTAGCCACCGACACTGAGCTGGATAGATGTTTCAACGTAAACTTAAACAGTGAGATAATACAGTACAGAAAGATGATTTTAACTTATTTATTCCCGCCTGCAACGATTACGATATTGCTCGGAGGTCAATGGCAAAGGATATTCGGAGTTTGAGTAGCCAATCAGAGCGCGCCTTCGACGCTAATTACTGTTTTAGAATATACAAATTGTTGATATCCTTTCATAAGGCAGAGCCATCAGTTAAAGTTTATTACGTACCATTTATAACTGCATTTTTGCAGTATACGCAAGTCTATTATGTTATAGCCTCTCTTTATCGCGTTTGAATAGTAAACCCCCAGAAGGTTTTGGTTTCTTTTTGAAGGAAAATAATGCTTCTGAATGAACCCACATTCTGAACCCACGTGAATGTCGTCTCTGTCCCCACAGAAAAAAAATGTTACATTATGGCTTTGCGCGGTTTGACAGTCGAAATATAAACCAAACCTTTCGAAAACTGTCTTGAAACAAGCTAAAATTTCGGTCACGACCGCCTTCATTTAAAGGAAAAGAAGCAGTTTAACTGATCTTTTACATTTTTTCCAGTCAGGTGAATGGACAGATCACGAACAATCCCTTCTTACCCGTGCTATGGTGAAATTTCCCGGGGGGACACCGAACCGTTGGGAAAAAATTGCTGTAGAGATTGGGAGATCAGTAGAAGAGGTAAGGAAATGAGAAGTCCCAATGGCCGCTTGAGCCAGTCGGAGGTTTTGATTGTGATGTCATGGCTGTAATTTTCATTTCATGTTAGCTTAACGTCCTGTTTTCCTGGTGCTGCAGGTTACAAAACAAATGAAAAAGTTAAAACAATCCTATGGAGCACCTACTCATTCATCGAACGCAGGTAGAAGAAATGTACTTGCTCTTTAAAGTACTTTTATTTAATTATTTCCTTTTTTTCTTCCCTGTTGTTGTTGTTGTTGTGAGCTAACTAAGCATTCTATTGAACCATTTCGTTTTGGATAAGGTTCTTCTGTTTTATGATTTGGAATATATATTTTTATATTGACAATCACTTTTTTGTTAGTTGTGTCACGTTACCTGTTTGTCGACGCGTTTGTGTCACGGAACCGTTTAAATGAAACGCAAAGTTATTACATTCTCTTGAAGGTCCAACATACCCAATGCGAGCGCCTATTTTTTTTTCTGAGCCGAACCAAAGGAAATCATATACTGTTTCTAATTCATTTGTTTGTGCGGTTTTTTTTTCACTCGCGTTTTATAAGGTGAAGGTGACTTAAGTACGCTAGTAATAAACAAGAAAAAGGCAATGGTGAGCGATGAATGCCTGGAGCAAGCTGACGAATGCTACAACTTTGGAAGCAACTCAAATCGTCACCGTAACAAATCGTCGAGAAGTCAACAGACGACAAAGAACGTTGCCGATCGGCCCGTAAGCGAAGTATCTGTACCGTCCGTGTTGCGTGACAGGACTTCAGAGCAATCGGATGGCGTTACTAAGAAAAACGTGACAGATGATGACAGTACTGCGTGGAGTCAGAATCAGCAGAAACAGTTGGAGATTGCGTTACAGAAGTTTCCGAAGACTGTGGCAGATAGATGGACTTGTATAGCTCAGGCTGTGCCTGGCAAGACTAAGGTGAGGAAGTAGAACTTGACGTCTTCTTCAAAACCAAAATCAATGCATTCTCAACGGCCAATCACAACAAAGGTGGAGATAACGATGAGCCAATCAGAACTCAAAGTAGAAACCAGCAAATTGTCTCGATTGGTTTTAGACTTCGAGTAGTCCCTCCTTTTCGGCGTAATCCGTCGCTCGAGTCAAAAAAAGCAGTGAAAAAGAATTGATGTCGGCACGCCGCGGGGAGCTCCAGGAGTGACGTCGCTCGAAAAGTAAGGACCGCGGACTATTTTACAAGAGCCTCACTCATGGAGCTCTTGCGGCGCATCGACGTCACTCCTAGAGCTCCCCACGGCGCCCTAACATCAATATTTTTCATTGAGTTTCTTGACTCGCGCGACAGACTACGCTGAAGAGGAGGGACTGCTCGTAATCAAGATTGGTTTTAGATTTGTTCTCGTTTGATCGAGAGAGTGGTGCAAGGTTTCAAGACCGATCAAAGAGCGAATCAAAAGAAAAATCGTAGTAGTCCGAATGATAGCTAGCAGGCCATCATTATTAGCGTTGCAGACTGCGCGGTTCTCCGCTCACGGGAAGGTTGAAGGCGAGTCAGGGGAAGGTTTCCCGGAGTGGTAGCACTAATAACGTCATATAATCAAAAGAAAAATTGTTGCTTACCGTTCACAATAGATGTACTGGTTTTCAAAGAGGGTCAAAAGCATACTGTATTTCCTCCAATAAGCGCCCACCCCCTTAGGCAAATACATCAAGCAAGCACCCGCCCCCCCGCCCCCACCTCCCCTCGAAAAGGCGCCCTAGGCGAGGAAATAATCGATTTATTGCACACACAAAAATTATTTTATCAAAATTGAACTTTTTCAATGTCAGCTCAACTTTTCTTTCTGTTTTATTTTACACAGCGTGACACATCTAATACCCTTTTTTTTGCAGGAAGAATGTATTTTGCGGTACAAATTTCTCGTGGAATGTGTTCGGAAAAAAAAGCTGGCCGGGCAGCAACAGTAAATGGAATTAACTCTTTCAAATTGTGAAATTATTTTTTTTCCATTAACTTATCAAAATTTGTAAAGAGAATTCATTAAAATAGATCACTATTAAATTGGTAATTGAAACCATAACCATGAAAAAAATCGTATTTCTTCTGTCTTGTTATGTAGGATAAAATCTGGTTGTCTCGTGGTAGTTCTTTTGGATGTCACGCAATGCTCTTATTACATGTTATCTCAAAGAACGCCCTAGAATAAGACCTACATTCTGGTGAGGCTTAGACAATCCTAATCATTCTTCTTGTACGATAAATCAGAATAATTCTGCTACTTAATGAGTAAAAAAATGACAGAATTAAGACTAACGTTAAAGACCAGCGGGCACAAAAAAGGCCAAATGCACAGGCTACTAATTGATAAAATGCAACAGAAGATCAGGGGCTTTTATTCACAACCGGCAGAATTTGCTATTTTGTTTTGCCAATATAAGCAAGTCTGTAACGCCTTTCGTTCGTCCAACAAGTTATTGAATAAATTCGTTCTTAACTTGTAAAATATCCATGTTGCGCGAGAAATTGACTGAAAATTCTAACCATGCACAGGCTCTTTAGACGGCCAATCTCGCATCCTTTACAATCATTTTTCGTCGAGCTGTCTAATAATATTCTTTAATTTCTTGGCAGTTCTTAACAAGAAGATTATTTTTGAGACAGATGTTTTTCGTCTTCTCATTAGCGTAGGACAAAGAAAATATTCTGAGTCCTTACGAGGAATCAAATCTTAGGCCGTCAGATTCCGCGCTTCGATGCCCTACTACTGAGCCAAAGAGACTCTACGGTGTGCGAAGTCCATCACGGAGTTCATATGACAAGCGTCCTGTATACTACTAGGATCAGCAATAAAATCAATCAATTATTTGTGTTAGTGATCTACGTAACAGCAATTGCACTGTAAAGATGAAGGAATCAATTGATACCTAATAAACAACAAGCAATCCCTCCTTTTCGACGAAGTCTGTTCAGCGTGTCATAAAAAATAATTAACAAAAAATGTTTTTGTAAGCGCGCGCGGAACTTTGAACGTGAGGCACAAGAGGAGTAGTTTTACGTGGGCTTTACGCCCTGGGTTCTGCGCGCCGCACTGACATCAATTTTTTTTCTTTCACTTATTTATTTTTCGAAAAGCGCGACAGACTTCGTCGAGAAGCACAGACTCTTCTCTCAGTCGAGGTACCTACCATTTTTCAAATGAACACGAATGGCCACGACTAATAATCGTCGAGGGTAATCTACGCTTCCTTAAGAGGAATTTACAGTGATTTACAGTTAATCCATCCTGAGAACGTCCCACAGTTTAGGATAATAAATTGTTTGGTTAGATCTAAGTCAAATCCAATTAGAGTTCAAAACTTTACTTGGGTATTTGTACCGAAGACCAAATGCACCTTTTTTTCGATGTGTGGAGGAAAGCTGCACATGCAGGTGGTCCAACCGAAACAGTGGCAGAGAGCGGGTAGGACTTTTTACGTGGGAGGAGGGGGTGTTTTATCAATTAGTGTTATCGTTATTCAACCGGAACTCGACAACAAACAGCGGAATCACCGGCAGTAACCACTTCCCCCCTCCCTCTCTCATCCTTTCTTAGCTACACAGTTCTGAAAGGAGATCAGTGAGGGAAACCCGGCAAACAGAATTGCTTACCACCAAGAGATTAATTTTTTTTTCTTTTAATCATATTGCTCTTCACATAGCACAGGACAAGTAAAAATCCTCGAACAGTCGACATCTCGATCCAGCATTTGATGATTCGAGACATTCAGGTTCAGGGGTCAGTTTATTTGGCAAGTATGTCTGGTTTCAAACTCCTACACCCTTAAGTCAACCTCCTCAACTTTAACCAAGACATGGACTACAACCAAGAAAATATTTAAGATCTCTTGCTACAACTAGAGCCCAGTAACCCACCAAATGTGCTCAGCGGGATAGTGGGGCTGCCTGATCTCTGATCAGAGAAAGACTGAGCTCTTTCGTGAAACTTTTCGGACGTGTGATTACACAAATAAGCAGTTGGTCATTGGTAAGGTCAAATACCCTTATTCTTACATATTTTTTTGTACGACCTTGGAAATCTTTGTGAATGTAAAATTGCGACTCTGGAATTATCTGTCTTTAGCACCACCAGATAAGTCGTTTTTATTCAGATCCAATAATCTCATGCTTGCAGCTTAATTTCATACCATAACAGTGCCACGTGTCACGTAAGCTGAGAATTATGCGGCGGTATATTCATTTTACCTGGCTGAACAGAGATAGAACTTTAAAGAGAAAGATATTTCAAGATTTGAAGGGTGGAAAGTGGAGTACAAAGAGCATTCTATTTACGTCTATTTCCTGATGGAACGTTTGATCAGGTGATAATGTTGATCGGCCGACTTGTCTCCCGTGGCGAAACAAAATAAAGCGGTTGTAATCATAAACGATCGTTTTGATATGGGATTTTTTGGCGCACACGCAACTAATTGAAGTCACGAAGGTGTTAGTTTTCCTGCTGTGCACAATGCGACATAAAGAATCTCTGTAACTTGGTTAATTCTTCAAAAATCTTGATGGTAGTGTTGCATTTCGATTGCAGGAGTTAGATGGGTCGCACCCTAAGAGAATCTCATTCTGGATAAATATACCTCAGACTTCGTCTGAACATTCTTTGATCAATAAAAGTCTCCTGGTAATTTCAATTTTGACGGTAGCCGGTTAGATAGCCTATCAGAAAAGTTCATTAAAGATGAAAGGAGAACTCTTTCTTCGTATGAAGTGAGAGTATGCGCATTGTGTGCAATCCAGCAGGGCTTAGCCCCTGGAACTTTCTTAGCGCTTGATAGTATTGTAGATAATATCTTAAGTGTTGTACGTCTGTTGACAAGCGGATTTGGGAAAACATTTTGCTTCGGCGTCGTAAATCTGAACAACCTCTGCCCTAGTTGTCTTGAAACATACCTTGACAAATCACAAGCATTTCTATTCAGTAAAACATCTGTCCTGTGCATGTCGAAAAACTAGAACCTTATGTGGTTTCCCTTGTAGGGGTTCGGTTATACGATGGCAGTACGTTACTACAGTAGACGCTCATAACACGCTAATCTATGACAATCAAATTGTCTGTAAAACTTCTCACTGGCTCTGTTTGACAAGCAACTTGAAGATGTTTTTATTACACCAAATAAATGCAAGATTACTTATCTAGGGAATGTTGGTTTTAGAGCTTTTTTTTTTTGCACGATTCTGTCTCAGCTGGGATGTTGATCACGCGAGGGGAGATAAACAACGCTGCCATGTCTTACTCGTTTGTATGTTATTGACAAAATTCTTGTTTGAGCTCAAGGAATCATTTTTTGAAGTCACGGTGTTTTTTCGTTGAAGCACTGTGAATTCGAAGCAGCGCCCCATTAAATATCCTGGCTTATTTGCTGATCTCGTATCTCATCTTTTTAATGTCCAGTTTCCCTTAAATCTATCAATACATGAAACGTGACCAAAAAATGAACGAAGTGCCTGTATTTCTAACCATATCTGTTATTGCCTTCTGTCAGATGTTCAACAACCCTCCTAATTCAGTGCCCAAACTCAACATTAACCATCCCTCTTAGAGGCCGGTTCGACACTGCTGATCCAATTAAAATACAGGGCAGTTCCAACATATGAAAGAACAGTATGACTTAATTATGCGTGGCTTGCCAAAGAATCGGTAGATCTCAAGGTAAAGCATCCGATCATGAACTCGATTGGAAGGCCTGGGTCTCGACTAAGATTTCTTTCTTTGTCCCACGTTTGTCTCACAAATGATTCACATCTTTCTCCATATCACAGTTTCTGGGTAAATTTTGTTTGCACTATTTTTGGCAGTATGGAGCTTCATGTGACCCTGTTGACAGCAATAAAGAAAAATCACCTCCAAAGTGAAAAGAGATCTCTTCCTAAAGAAAAATCAATTAATTAACACAGATGGAGTCCATTGACGGCTCTCACATCTGGCTACCTTTTGTCGGTAGAAAATGTTCGAGAAGGCTAGAAAAAAAAAATTGAGGTATTTATTCCAACAAGGGAGGATCTTTATTACTTTGAAGTTAAAACCATTTTTCTGACATAAGAAACATAGACGAATATCGTTCTTTAAAGATGTATTTTCTTTCTGAGCCAAGGTGTAGTCTGTACGTTGTGTACATTAGTCGAACAAAGCCTTTGTTCTTACTTTTTAAGGAAAAAAGGAAAGCAGGAACGACCGATGCTTGAGGACATTTAGGCTCTGTACAATAGGTGCAAGAGAAAGGTAAGGACCTGGGCAAAAACAAATTCAGGAAACTTCCGAACAAAAGCGAGAACTTTGAGTTAAAGAAAGGGAAACCCAGAACATGACTGACTTTCGCGCATGAGTGATAGGTTCGATTAGCAGTGTCTTGGCGGTCAGTGACGTTCAGGAAAGAGATAAAATGAGGTTGTTAAGTCTGTGATATGATCAGGTTCTCCACAAAGCACGCACAGAGTATAGAAAGTAAATACGAGAGAGTATTGATTACATGACCCCTTGCGATACACGATGACAGCTTGAGTTATATATATACACATGCACGGTATACGATTCACGCATTTGAATTTACCAGTGTGCACCGTTCTTCAGTGTGCGGCAGAATGGGGAAAGACCTCGCCATGATTCATACATCTTACAAAACGTGGTTGTGCAATGCTGCGCTGTTTGCTTTGATCTGTGCTGCATTTGGGGCAGGAGTACTTTTGGGTCCTATTGTTACCGCTCGTGGAAAGAACGAATTGACGAGGAACTTACATTGCAGCCCGGACGGAGATAAAGCATCGCAGTTCGCAAGCAATCCTCAAAGACGTTTGAAATCTGAATGCATTTCTCGAGGGCAACTAAAAGACTTTATGAAGCAATGGAGTCGTACCTTAGGTGATTTGATCAAGGAGAAAATGCTGAACGCCACCAAGAAGAAACTAAATCATGCAATCAGGAAATTCTCTAAAAATAAGGATGTCCAAACGCAGAGAACAATGGAAGGTAAGCTTACGTTTTGTTTTTTTTTTAATTGCTAATTTCTCTCACATAACCTTTTACTAAGCCAAGGAGTAGCATTTGGCGAATTATGATGCTATGAGCAAGTATGTGGTAAGGAATAAAAACATAGCGCCTCTTGTTAATTTTTGCAAGAAAGGGGTGTATTTGTGATTGATTCAAAAAGAAAAAAACCGAAAATTCTCTTCTTAGTACCAGATTTAATCCAATTTAAGCTTCCAACCTTTAGAATTTTACTTGTCAACGAGCCTCTAATGTTAATCTTCTTTCGATACTTTTTAAATTTCATCGGATCGCAATAAAAGACGCACACAAAAAAAAAGCATCAACAACTACATAAGACCTGTCGAGATACAGTCCAAGTTAAGTAATGAAAATTTCCTCAGATTCACTCAAAAGGCTTAATCATTCGTGTTTTCGAATATGAAGTTATTTGCTGTTAAGAGTATCATCGGCAGTAGATTAAAAACTAATAGCTACATGGTTAATTTTGCCACACACTAAAGTTACGACGTCTCGACTAAACTTTAATCAGCTTTTAGCAAAAATAAGGTAATAAAACAGGCCACATCGACTTTAGCTGGACAGCTAACACAACAAACTGTTACAAATAGAAATAACTCAAACAACAGATTCCCCGATTTGCTTTTCAAGAAGTTACGAAAAATTTTCACGAGCTCGGGGCTAAAACATGTTTGATATCAGCTGCAGAGTTTTTTCATTAAGATGTTTCCGTTTGGCTTTCACGAGTTTTTAACGCCCGCAATACAACTTCATTCATCTTTTAAGAATTATTAAAGTGGGAATCGAATGCGGTTTCACAAAATTGATGCGGTTTCATAAATTGATTAGAGCGGTGAGTTTCCATCAGGTTGTAAAACATCCGAGAACTCAAAAATCACCCCATGCTGAAACACAAGTAGTGGAAATCAATATGCTATAAAGTGTGTTTTGCCTCCCATGCAGTGTCGCGAGACATTGATATTCTCTCAGTCTCAATTGCTCAGCTAATTTTTCTCTTATCTCTAATAGATAAGCAGAATATTAATTTCATGCGATTATCGAGTCACGTCTATTCGATAAACCCAGGAGGGTTCTATAATCTTAATATTTGCCTTGCGTGCTTGAGTTAAAGACTGTCACGAATTCCAGAGAACACGGACATTCTTTCCTCTCGGGACCTCTCTCCGAACACGGTTATCCTGATTGATATCTCGAGCGACTTAAGCGAGCAGTGTGCTTCATTTTGTTTTCTCCCGACACAAGAATTTTTTTGCTAGTATCTCGGCATGTCATAGCCGTTACTCGCTGTATTAGTTTTGCTCTCTGCCAGTGTAGAGATTCAATGTTTTCCTTGACCTACCACCCTGTGATCAAACGACCGATGCTGTCTTTTGGTTCGTGTTGGTTGTGCATATTTCTCCTTATTTTAGAGAGATCTAACTTAGATTATTCCTTAAACACTTTGCAGTATTTCGTGCTTTGAAACATATTCAAGAATGCGGTTTAAATCATTAAAATCTGAGATCCGGCGATAAGGATAGCTGTTCCCGCGCCATAATGTTGTGGCACGTGGGTTTTGCTTTTGTTCCGCGATTGTGCGGAACAAAAGCAAAATCCATTAAAATATTTGCTCCTCTTGAAAGATGTGGCAATTAAAACCACTCTTGAAACACGAAGGAAACAAGTTTCGCCCCTTCACTCTGTCAGAAAGCAGACGCAGCTTTTTATCAGCCGTTTATCGCGTGTTCGATGTCAGAGTTTAATGAGCCATCGCGTACTGCTGTGTATAGCCTGTCAAGACACCGTGCACCGAAACGCGGATAGACACGCAAACCGAACACAGTAGTTACACCCGCCGCGTCTGAGTGAGGGGGTAATAGACATAATACTGGATAAAAATCCAAGAGTTAAACTAGTAATCCTCAGCCTTTAATTCACAAGAGCAAAACGAAAATTTCTACCTGTTTTCTGAGTTGATTTATACTAAGCCAACTGTCATTGCCAATCAATTTGCACCAGTTAGTTTATTTGGAGAGTTTTCCAGTTTGCATTCAGTGCCATGGCTATCAAAGAAGTTCGCCGATGAACCCTCAGGCGCAAAATAAACTTCTCTAGTCACATATACCCCTGACTCGCTGCCAAAATTCCTCTCTCTACAGTCTTCCATTCTCTTAAAGGAGAAAAACACACGTAACAAAAACAAAAGGAGAAGTGGATGTCGATTGACGATTATCGCCGAAGAATCTCGAAAGACATATTTAAATTGAACCAAAAACCTTTGGAAAGTTTATGCCTTAAAGCGCGTATTTGTGTATTCCTTTAACCTAGTTTCCATTAGGATCTCTAGCACTGAAAAATTCTTTACATTTCTCCTCCTTTGACTTCACCTGATGGAGGTGTCGTAGGAAGTTAAGGGAAATCTGGAGTCCCTCACAATTCCACTCAATTGCAGCTCTATCTTGGCTGACCGGGCGACCTCAACTCCCCATTTGCGCTTTGTTAACAGCCGACAATTTTGCTTCCATTCAGTCAGAATGAATACAATTTTGTCTTATTCACGATGTTGATTGAGGATGTGTATTTACAGCGACGCCAAATTGGATAGAGGTGCTAAATACATCAACACTTAAATAAAGGGCTTTATTTGTTTTAATGGGCTTTTTTTCCCGGTAGCGTTGATAAACAACATGCTAGCCAACTGGACTTCTCAACTGTTACAGCAAAACAACGTGCTTATGCCTTCGGAGAAGCCAGTGACAGCTCGCTCGCCAGAAACCAAAGGGTCCACAGAGAGGAAGACTGTTAAATCGACTACTAAACCAGACCTAGAAGTGATCGAAGTGGACTTTGTTGAGCCCACGTCACAAGGTAACACGAATGAACGGTTTGTGTGTTCAGGTTCTACATGTATATATAGGGTTCAGCAAAGTGTCACCTCAAAAGAACCGACTTCTAGCAACCTCTCACTTAACTCGAATGTTGACCTACTATTACTGACCATTAACGATCAGTTAACTTAATCTGTAGCCTTCGAGGATGGCTCTTTTGTAGACGTTTAAAGCGGCGAAGCTGCTCAATATGAATGAATGAGACGGAAATCGCGACATCCCTTCTCGCTTAGAATCAATATCGCCCTCATTCATCAGTATTCATCGAGTGCTTAGAAAACCGCTTGCGATCGACTGGAAAAACTTATTTGCTGTATGCTATTGATAACCTCCAGTCCTCTCTTTATTCATTCTCTTATTTGAATCTTGTTTGTTAGATACGTCCGTCAGTATACCCGTCCCCATTGCCCTCTACCCCCTCAATGGCAAATACAAAACTTGGGACGTCAGCGGACGGAGCAATCCCAACGGTAATGCGCACGGGGTTCGACTCGCCCCAGGACCAGACGGAAATCCTCAAGGCTCGTACCAGTTTTCTGGGAAGAGTAGCAGCTTCATTGCATTTCCAAACAAAGGTGCACTGACTGCGAAGTATTCCATAACTCTTCTTGCCTGGGTTAATGTCGAGTCTAAAGGTGGACCTATATTTAACTACAATCCGAAGGGGTGGGGTGTTAGTTTGTGGGTCAACTCAAAACTTTTCCTCGCCGCTAAATTTATTGAGGACGATAGCGGTTGCAGGACGTGTTTGGTTAGCGCGCTGCCGTTAAAAGAAAACGTGTGGAGTTATGTGGGGATGTCTTACGACCGTACCAGTGGCATTGCCAAGCTCTTGGTGAATGGACGTGTGAGTAGTAAGAGAAATATTGGAACAACGATTGGTGATCTGTCAACATCATGGAATGTGAGGATGGGCGCTCGCGCTACGAAGGACGGGAACTATTTTAAAGGTCGGATATCCCGGATGCAAGTCTACGACAGGGCACTGACTCAACGTGAAGTCGAGGTTGTTTCAAGTACTCTCACAGGTAAATTTCATCACTTTCGTCCAACTGTTTTAAGTCTACGGTTTGTCTATCAGCACTCGTCCAAGTGGGTTTAGTGTGTCTGCAGCTGTCTTTCTGCCTCAGTCAGTCTGTCTGTCTCTATTTGTCTACCTTTGTGTCTATCTATTAGTCTAATAGTCTGTCGACCATCTCTTAAAGGGTCTTTCTGGGGTTAATCTTAAGCCGTGAAACGACTAAAATCATAGTCGTCAGGCGTAAAAATTGACATGCAGATTTAAAGCATTAGAAGTAAAAAAGGCAAACTGTAAAAAAGATTTATCTAAGTCAAAACGGAAAGAAATTAATCGTTAGCCATAAAATGGCCAAAATTTTGGTGTAGGTGCGTTCTTCGTTATTCCTTTCTTTGAGTTGAAAGAGAAACGAAAGAAAAGAAATTGAGTCGCCCCTGGTGAAAATTTCCGACTCATATGCTGCATGATTGCTTATCTTTCGATTGGCATGAATATCTATCTTATTTATACTGACTTCCTCGGTGAATAATCAGATCTACCAACAGGGTCGTTAAAAGCAGGTTCCTGCTCAGACTGACTCACCTAATGACCTAAATCTTATTTTCTGTCCTACAGCTGGTATCTGCCCACAAGGATGGACGGGATTTCACTCATCGTGTTATTTATTGTTCAACCGGTTGACAAACCAGTGGAATCACGCTAGACAGGTTTGTCGGGAGCACGGAGGAGACCTGGTCAAGATCGAATCTCCGGAAGAAAACCATTTCGTTTACACACTGGCATATTCCAAAGCTGCCGATAAAAAGTATGTAAAGCCTTTTATTTCAAAATTCATATAGAACTGTGACATTAATAACGATGTGAATGATCATTATCGGATGTGTTTGTACAGGGAAGCCAAGTTCATTCTCCGTCAAAGTTTCGGTTTGTGCAACTCACATAGTGGCGAACATAGCTTGGTTTACGAGTTGAAATTTCCTAAGTAAGTCCGAAACTCAAATTGGTGAACCGCGCTGAATTTCTCATAAGGCAAAGTCCGTCTATCTAACTTAAACTGTTTTCATATGACGAGGTTATGGGAGAAAGCATATTCACGAATTAATTTTCTCGTTGTCTCAAGGTACATGTGGATAGGCTTGCTGCGCGGCTCGTCGAGCGAGCAGTTTGCCTGGGTACACACATCTCCTCCAATCCTGTATTCCAATTGGGCAATCGAGGAACCGAACAACCTTCATGGACGAGGCGAAAACTGCGGCCATATTTACATCTGGAAGGGCGATAAGGCCATGCAGTGGAATGACGAACTCTGTGTCAACCCGACAATTGGTCCAATGATTTTCATGTGCGAGATGAAACCATTGGATCTCGAGCTCAAACCGATTAACTCTGGAAATTCAGTCATCGAGGGAGGCTCCGGTGAAGGGGAGTCTGGGTCGGGAGAGTCCGCGAGCGGATGGGCCAGTGGAGACGTCAACACCTTCCCGTCCAGACTGGACTAAGTCGCGATAAAGTAAATTACAACGTAGATCGTGGAAATAAAACATCGCGCTATGGAATGTATATAATCAATTGCTTTTAGAGAGACAATGCTAACTTTATTTGCTCAGCGTAGCGACTGAGAAACCACAGTCATTTTCTTAATTTTTAAAGACAATGTACGCGGAATGCATTAGTCATATCATTTATCTCGACGTACCATATTTTTCCATACTATTTATGAATAATCTCTCGAGGTGCTGAATTATTTGAGGTCGTTCACGTCACACGACGAAGTATGTTTACGCGAACCGACAATATGAGATACCATCAGCACTGGTTGTAAGGCAGAGAAAAACGGATGGAATCATAGAACCCCTAGGTGCCGGTGTAGCAAACAAAGTGCAGAATGTCTTTGCATCTTACAGGAATTTTAAAAGGATATACATAAAATAGATACAGGACCGACCAAAATACACGGTTACTCGAAGTTCGTTTGTTTAACCAGAAAGACACGGTATTTTAATTGGCTTTGTAATCAGTAATTTTAAAAAAATATGTAAATTGCATTCTTCTTCATTCTTCTGGTCCCATAACACTTTTTTCACCTCCGATTGGAAAAATAGTGATACAAGGCAATCCATATATCTTTAATCAGTTGCCTACAGTCGGGGAAACCTGCTTGCATGGTAGATAAGGCAGTCTTAAATTGAGTATCGAAAGCGATTCTGGATAGCTTTGTTCTATGATTGGTCGAGAAAACTCGTGCCAACATCTCAACCAATCAAATGCAACACTAAAACTAGTCCCAACTTGGTCACTCGTGTTTTCCCGCGTTTTAAGCAGGTTGCCTGTTTTTACTTTGAGTTCTCATTGGTTAACGATGATGTCAACCTTTGCTCTGATTGGTCTTTTGGTTTATCGACACTCAATTCAAAACTTCTCTCACAGTAAAACTATTCATCCTTTTAGCCAGGGTATATATCCAAGTGTTTTCCCTAAAGACGAATCCATTCACATTGTACAGCGATATCACGTCCTCAAGAAGGAGTAGTGTCTCTTGTACTGCTTCTCATTCTTTCCGTTTCGTACGAGCCGCCTTCTTCGTCAATATAGTTTCATTCAAATAAGAATCTGGAAATGAGATTTCCGATGTGTAGACGAGGCAATGAAAGCGCTTTGTTGTTACATTCTGACTTGCTGCACGCCCTCCTACATCACGGCTTCGTTTTTCCCTTCCCCTGGTAAGAAAAAGAAAACAAATCACTTGAATTCACTTCGCTGAAATGTCTGTGTGTTCGTTAAAGGACGTAGCAAGGGGGGGCGGGGGGGCGGGGGGTCTATAGGTGTGGCCGGGAGACACCTTGGGTGGATGCTCCCGTACTATCGTCCTCAAGCATGACACGACAAAAGGGGAGATAAAACACAAAGAAACAAGCATGATAACGCATGTAGATCTCAACAGATTGGAAGTTAAAAACTTGAAAAGATTAGTACTAAGTCCCTCGCGATGCAAAAAATCGTCAGATAGCCCCTATAGCACTCCTTAGAAAAAGACATGACTTCAAGGAAGAAATTTTAAGAGGACAAAGAGGACTGCGGCCCAGTATCTCACAGTTTTTTCGGGTATAAAAGTAAAGACAGTAGAGATGCTGAACGTTCCAGGAGAGACACAGAACCGCTAGCTACGCAGGCTAAAGGAACTGCATTTCTTCTTAGGATAATTTTGCTTAACTTACTCAATATAAAACAAACAATCAACAAAGTCACATGCACTCAGGCACCAAGTTTTTTTCCCCGTTGTGAATTGTTTTTTGCTTCACTATTCTCGTTCACTGCTCCTTTCGACTGGTCATAGTCCAAACCTAAAACATCACTCCGCGCCAATCGCACTGTGGTGTCGTGTAGTGAGTTTTCTTGTCTCTAATCACATCGCTCGAAATGCTACCTAGCTATAATACATATTTAAATATTTAAGTAACATCATAATTCTTAGAGAAAGATTTTTTCGGCTTGTCACGAGGGTGGGGCAAAGAAAAAAATTCTGAGTCCCTGTGAGGAATCGAACCACAGACCTTCAGATTCCGCGCTCCGATGCTGTACCAATGAGCCACAGAGACTCTACGGTGAGCGAGGTCTATTACGAAGTTCGTATGACACGCGTCCTGCATACTGCTAGGATCAGCAATGTCGATAGCGTCATGTTTGTATATAGAATAAGAGTGATAGTAAGTTTTGAGCCCGGTAAAGATATAGATACATCTGCACATGGACGGTCGGCAAGCCAACTCGTGTAAGTGTGTTTATATCTCAGTAGAGTGAAGGTTATGATCATGTTATGAGTATCTAAGTCTTACCACTTGAAACGCTAGGAGTGATCAGCGTGTAATTTCTCCCCTACAATATCAACCCTGTATTACGGTCACAAGAAAAAAGGAAATGATTACCAATTACAGAGGCTCTTGATTTTAGAAAAATTCTCGTTGTCCTTAGGAAATGTATGGAGAATATTATAGAAAATTTGCAAATTGATGCTAAAATGTTAAGGCTTAAAAAAGAAACCTAAGATGTGAAAACCCTCAAAATTGTTTTAAGGCTTTTACCTAAAAAAAAAAAACTTTACCAGTAAAACAGACCAATAAAATTTATTTTGCCATGTTTCACAATTGATAACTTTGTAAACGTACGTCACGTATTAGCAAATAATGTTTTAAGATAACTCTGCTGTGTACAACACGTAAAACACCTTTTTGACGTTAGTTTTTGCACCTAGACATTAACCTTCTTGTGAACTACGAAAACGTTACCTTCTGAAAACCACAATTTTTACAACGAGAGAGTAGGACGCGGCTAACATGTTTTTCATCACCAGATTAATATGTTTATAACCTACAAACGGCCTGTAATTTTGCCTTGGTCAACGTCAAACATGAAGAAACGAAGCAAGCCATACCCACAAGGCCAATGTACCAAGTTGCTTCCTCTCTTCTTGCTCAACAAACTTCAAAACAGTGAAAATAATTTATCTAAATTTTGGATACCAAATCCCTTTTAGGAACTAACTAAAGAATTTCATCAAAAACTTAAACTGTAAAACACTGAAAAATTTCCAGCATTCTTGTATAAACCTATGAGTGGAAACACCATATTTCATTTGTTTTGTGACTTGAGATAAATTGAAATTGTTAGATTAGTACCTAAAACACACAATATCTTTGTTAACCCTTTTACTCCCATGAGTGATCAAGACAGAATTTCTCCTTACAATATCAATACTATATCAACCAGATAAGAGATGAGAACAAAGAAAAATATCAACTTGGGGATAATTAAATGATCCACTATTAAATTCTCTGAACTAACATTATATGAATTTTATGGTTGACAATAAGGAGAATTACAAATTTGATCTGGGAGTTAAAGGGTTAATTTATTCTCAGAACTCTTAATGATTTTGAAGACGAGATAAAATGAATCATAAAAAATGAAATGACTAAGGAAAAACCAATTAAGTACTTGATAACACAAATCTTGAATGCAAAGAAATTTTCTTTGTGTAACTTTAACAAGACCATTTGCCTTACTAAGCATCCTAGAGGTATACAACTTAAGAAACTTAAGAAGTAATGTTTATTGCAAGGACGTATTAGTGACCCTTATACAGGTAAATGCTGATAAAAAACATATTCCTTAAAAGAAATGAAAAGAGTCTCACTGAAAAGATTCTGTGGACAGACTTTCTGTAGGGTCAGTTAGGGAAAAAACCCTACACATGCACATGAATGCAACTCAAAACCCACTGAAACAGTGGAAACTGTTACTGCTCATGAACAAATCTGAACCATTACCAGGCCACAAAGTTCCTAGTTTATGACTGAAGACAGATCTGTCTTAACCCTCTAACCACTGAGAATGACTAACATCTAAACTTTAAGATCGCAAGAACTAAGAATGATCTCTGACTAAAGAATCTACTGATCGTTAAACAAAGTCTCATTCTCAGTACCACAGGAAATGTAAAAAGAACAGTATGGAGAATGTGAATACTGATGTTAAGGTGTAAAGCGTTAAAGTCTTAAACAGAGACTTCAAAGTTTTTTAGTTCTCTTAGATTTGTAACTATGCTACCTTAACTGATCTTTGGATTTGCTTTACACTTCATATGCAACTTTAATTCCAAACTACCTTCCTACCAGTATAACATTACACAAACAGTTCCACAACTTTGGTTGATGTAGAGTCTTGCCGTCATTGTTCTGTGAAATACAGTCCCCAAGAACCATATCTTTCTTGATGCAGTCTGTATGTCCCATGTCTCCCGTGAAGTTCAGTCCATAAGTTCCAAATAACATGTGATATATAGTCAAGTTCCCTGTAATCCAGTTCTTCATGTCTGTAAAACCAGTCCATCAAGTCCAGTGTCTTTCCCATTGTCAAACAAAGCAATTCCAGTGGCAGTGGAGCATGTGTGCTTGAAAATGAGGAAAAGCTTGCTATCTGTGCTCAATGTTGTTTTAACTCAGTTCTACAAGTTGATTGCCACATGACATAAACCACAAGGGGTGTCTTGCATAGGAAATAAACATGAAGAAACAGGTTCTACATTACCTTTGATACCTTAGTCTGTGAGGATGAAAATGCTAGTTGTGTAATTCTGCTGTTCTAACATCATGTGCGAGGTCGTTTTCTGGACGCTTCTGACTTGGGTGGATCAGCATGCATCACCTTCAACTTCATACCAAGAACTTCATGGCCATGCATTCCTTCAATGGCTGCATCTGCAGACTCCTTGCTTGCAAACTTGGCATAACCAAAGTTACGATCTTTCATCATCCACACATCAATCAGGTTCCCAAACCTGCTGAAGACATCCTTAAGGGCACTTTCTGGTGGTGGGGCTGGTTGACAAACAATAAACAGTCTTGAAACAACCTCAGAGGTTGGATCTGCCAAAGGAGATGGTGCTGGAAGAGCTGCTGAAGTGTAGACAGCAGTAGAGTAGTCCACTGCATATGAGCCACCAGTGAGAGATGATTTAGAGCCGTGTGACTGAATCTGAAAAGCTGTGTCACTACCCTGCCCTGTACCATTACTACGCATTCCAGGAGGATCTTCCGCATATTTTACCACAAGCTTTGAGCCCAATGGGTATTCAAACCCATTGAGTTTTTCCTTAGCATAGATTGCAGATCCTACAGAGTTGTATGTGACATAAGCAAAGCCCTTGGATTCTCCAGTGCCATAATTCCGCTTCAAATCACACATCTGCATACCAGGAATGATGTCAAACAAGCGCGATAATTGCTCTGCCCCTATCATAGGGGACACTTTAACAAACAGCCTGGTGGGGGTATGTGACGTTGTAATAGACTCTGCAACTGCTGCTACAGGGTTTTGAGTTCCATAGTAATCTGCAACTCCCTGAAGCGATGCAGCATTATTCACATTCATGCTGACTGTATGGCTGCTGACTGGTGCTGCTGCAGCCTGAGGGTAATTATTTACCTCTAGAAATGGATTGTGTGGGATTAATGTAGATTGCATGGCTGCTGCTGCAGCTGCTGCATTTCTGGCAATTTTAGCTGATTTGGGCTCAGCCCAAACAGCTTTAAGAGTCTTGTCACAGTTCTCAAGTGCAACAGCTGCTGCAGATGACTTCCTGAACTTAACATATCCAAAACCTTTGTTTTCACCAGTTTTATGGTCACGTACAATTTGGACATACTCTATCTCCCCAAAGTCCTGGAATTTTTGACGTAAGTTATCCTCTGTGTACTCTTTTGGACAGATGATGAATAAACGGGTCAGTGCTGTTTCATCATGAAAATCTGTTTTAGAGCCTGAACCTTTAGACTGAGCAATCATCGCCTAAAAATAAAATAATCAAAAATGTTCTTATTAGGTGAGAAGCAAGAAAGGTTGAATTCTAGAGATCTACAGTGCCAGCTTCTTTGCATAAGTGACAGATTAACCCTTTCACTCCCAAGATCTAATTAGTAATTCTCCTTACTATCTGCCATACAACTCTTATGATGCTAGTTCAGAGAATTTGGTATTGGATCAACTAATAATCCCATGATTGATATTCTTCTCTATTCTCATCACCTGCCTGCTTGATATTGTATTGATATTGTAAGGAGAAATTCTGTCTTGATCACTTGTGGGAGTGAAAGGGTGAAGGTAAAATCTGGGCAAAGCACTCCCAAAAGAATGTGTACCTTTTTAATTAAGTTCATATCTTTTTAAAAATAATTGTAAAACATTTTGGATACATTCATTTGTTTATAAAGGTTCCAATTACAATTTTTTTTTCACAATAAACTTTGTTTATTTCCAACCTCAGAAAAGCCCTTTGTGCTTTATTGAGGAATTGTTGACCAAAAATCCAACCAGCCATCACCATTTTTCCACCCTGCCAATTTTGCAGGCAGCTGGCCCTTAGCAACAAACCCTGATCCCTCATCTCACTCCTAGGGCAGTACCTTAGGCAATGAGCTGTGATAACATCTTATTTCACACAGGGTATATATCACATCCATAAATAAAAAATCTTTTTTCTGATCTTCAATTCATTTGAAAAAAATACAGCACTGATAAGTCCTGCAAAAAACCATTGTTTGAGAGGCTAATGGACAATGCCATAAAGAGGTTCACTTAATATTTCAATAAACCAAGAGTTGATAGTACTTAAAAAAAAAAGAATCACTAGCACTAAGAGAAAAATCAATTTTAATCTTACTGGCATACTGACTAATTACCATTTGAAGAAACTTGATGCAAACCATGTAAATTTGCTTTATGAAGAAATATTGGCTAACGAGAGATTAAAATCCTAAATCTTCAACAGCATTTACACAATCTCCTCTTGTGTTGAAAGAAAGATATAGGATTGAACAAGAAAAAAAGGCTTGTTATTGTAGTGTGCACATACAATTTTGGTACAAGTACACAAAATACTACAAATACAAAATTAGTTTACAAGTTTAGCATTAAAATATTTTCATATACCCGATAGGTTTCAATAATAAACTAATTGTTTGCCATCAAACATACACGAAGGAAACTAATACTAAAAATTCCTCTTCTCATGAGGACATGAAATATAAATAACCACTGTTGGGTGCCATCTGCAAATTCAGTGACACTCATATAATTTCCAAACACCTAATGAGCAATTTTGCTTTTTTCCATGTTAGAAACAAAACCTGGACTTGAAAGAAGCAATTAGTGATATGAACTTAATTGACTCTTATAAAAGCCCAGAAGAAAGTGAAAACCTTTCAAAAGTTGTCTTACTATGGGGAAAAAATGTTCTGTTATGTTTACATAACAACCAACCTTTCCATATAGCACCTTTCAAACAAAAAAACCCAACTTTTCAGAGATTGAAAATATAAAGATTATCTTGAAAGTAAACCTTTTAATTAATGTTACAGACATTTTTGATGCACTCATCAAAATTTCATTTTGAAAATTAAGGAAAAATTAGTTTTAGAAGCTTTACCTTATCAAGATTTCATGTCACTCAAAAACACTAAAGCAAGAACAAGCTATTTCCTATCAATTTTTAACAACTTTCTCTTGGTGAGATGAACAAAGAGCTCTTGGAGTCTGTAGGGGCATTTTGTAAATTTATCCAAAATATAACTCAAGATTGTCCAAACGCAATTAAAGTTTACAGAAGAGATGACGTTTCTGTCTCGCTGAAATCCCTGATAAAGAAGTTTGCGATAAGCATATGATAATATTTGGCCAATTATGAAGTTAATAGGAGATCGTGAAATATTCATGCTTGAAAGGTACATGTTTTTCACTTATCCACGTTGAAACACCCTACAGAGATGTTTAGGGTGACATAAAAAAAACAATACGTGCCAAAACCAATTTTACGGAAGAAAATCTCATCAAACAAAGCAATCGCTAAAGATCTGACCAAATAGATATGTTCTTACATAGATCTGTTTCCTAGCTTAAGGCAAAAAAGTGGTCATGTAATATAAATAATTGAAAGCTTTTGAAAGCATTCGATTTAGACAATAACTCTGCTTCCCTTTCTCTGATCCATCCATCACTATTTCTAGCAAGGAAAATATTAGACTGAGTTCTTTATTGTAAAAACCCGAATAAGAAACAGTTTCAGCTATAAATGCATATTATCAACCGTAACACCAAGAAAAACGCTTTGAAAGCTCCCAAAGAACAGGTTTAAGTTCTAGCACATGGCATTTTGTAATTAGTGGTGGGATGTTAGGATGCTTACGATAGAACAAACTTCAATACAAACTTCAACATAAGGGGACAAGAGATGATTTGTTTGAAATCTGAGTCTGTCAAAATCAAAACGTACCTTAATTGGTTTAGGATCATCTGCAATAATTTTTCCATCCATTTCTTCGCAAGCTCGAGCTGCCGAAGACGCTTTGGCGAACTTTATGTAACACACGCCACGATTTTCTTTCGTCTGTTTGTCCTTCACAACCCAGATATCTTCAATGGTGCCAAATTGTTCGAATGCGGCTCTCATGTCTTCCGACGAGTGCTTCTTACTGCAGACTATGAAAATACGCGAAAAAGGCGGGCTGTCCACGTCTACACGGCTAGAAATTGAGCCCGTATCCATACTTTGTTGGTTACTCACAGCCATCTTGAAAGCTTTGAAAGCAGCAGCCGTGACGCGAACTGCCTCGTGGGAAATGAGCAGTTCCGCGTTTTGGTTCGCCCCAGTTCTCTGAAGTGATTCTTATGCAAGGGGAGGGGAGAGTAAGGGGATAAGCGATTCTCGATAACAGAAAGAAAGTAAGGTGGAAAAGTTTCATCCCTGTATTTTAACGAAAAGAATTCAAAGTAAATTTAGATAATTCCGTGTGGCAGCAACGTTAACGACAATTTTGATCCCCTCCTCGTCAAATTAGGAATTGAGGGACAAGGAAGTATCAAAAAGGCAATGAATGGACGGGCAATAGTGTAAGCCGAAAATAATTAGACTCGATAACTTATTATTGAATTGATACTTTGTACTACGTTAGTGCTTCAAGGGAAAGTCTGAGAATATTGTAGTGATTCCTTAGCGGTCAGCGCAACTACCATTAACGCAGCCGCACCAAGCACATGTGGAGCCTCGCGCGTCGAGCGCGTCCATTTTAGTTTTGGGAACCAAACTCGAACTCTAACGCGGTTCTTTTGTCTCCCGCATGCCTGATTCGGTGTAGTCCAGGTCAGAAACGCTCCTTACAGGGGTTCCAAATCTTCGAAACTGCTAAACATGGTAAAAGAGATGATAGGTGGTTGTTGCGTTTGTTCGGACGAAAGAGGATGGGATGAGAACCCACTGGTGTACTGTGACGGCCATGGCTGCAATGTTGCCGTTCATCAGGGTAAATACAACTTACCTTTAGAGGATTCATTGCAAGATTTGAATCTTTTTTGATGATTTATGGCTTTGCATTTATTAATCATCAGCATGTTATGGCATCGTGCAAGTTCCTAAAGGACCGTGGTTTTGTAGGAAATGCGAATCGCAGGAAAGAATCGCTCGAGTGGTAAGCTGCTTATATTAGTCTATGAACACTTGACAGCTCCTAAAACAGATGTGGAGCTTTCAGCTGGTACAGAATAGGTTTCCTCTCATTTCCTAACCAAATTTTTGTCTGATTTAGCGCGTAAATTTCTCTTAATAAAACTGTCACGAAGTTCGTGTTTACAAGATAGCGTGACTCGACACGCAGGTTGTAGATTTCATGCTGATCGTTCAGTTTGCACTTGCAGGTTAGCTATCAGGGTACGGTCGAAGTACTATTTCATTTTTGCAGGGCCTAACTTTTAGACATTGCAGATTTTAGAGGCTTAACCACTTGGTTTTGAGGAAAAAATTCTTTCATAAGTTTTGTATTTTTTTCTGTAATGTACAGAGCACTTGCTAAATGCTAAGAAAGAAATAGGTTTCTCGTCACCTTACATTGTTGTTTTCTATTGTCAAACACTTCTGTAGCTCATTTAAATTTGATTTTGAAGTCCAATTCATCATTTTTTTCCATTAAGATTGATTGGGGTTTTTTGCTTATTGATAATTTACGCTTAAGAATTAAACTGAAATTTCAAAAGCATCAGAAGATACTGGAAATTGACAAACTGTACATGTGTACATGAATCTTTATCTAGGGAATTTTGAAAACTCACAATCTTTAACTGAATCTAAGTCACAACTAACCAATAGGATTTCAGTTCTGGAGAGCAAGAGAACTAATTGCTAGCAAAACAGCCCTTTCCTCTGTGTCCTGAAAATCAATTTTCAGGCCTCATTGAGGGCTATCAGGAAAAACGTAAGTTCTGAGCGTCCAAATGTTGTAAAGGATGGCTGAAGGCAGTTTTTGGTCTTTAAGGCAAAGAAAACAGAGAGCAATACCTTACATAAGCTAGTTACAAACATTCATTTTTGGTTTGAGTGGGGAAGAACCAGCTATTTCTATTTGCCCAGACCCTACATATTGAGAGAGTCCTAGGTTAATAGTAAAATGTCTTGATTTCAAACTTATATGCACTATCTCGCCGCCATTTTCCACAGTCATTTATACTATTACCTTTGATCAAATTTGTCTAATTGCAGAAATGTGAGTTGTGTCCATATAAAGAAGGTGCTCTTAAAAGAACAGATACTGGAGGTAAATTTGTAGTCCACTTAGTAACTTTTAACCCTTTACACTCTAATATCACTATGCATATTCTCCCTACTGTTCATTACACATTTCTTAAGGTGCTGAGGAGGAGAATTTGTTTCACAATCAAGAGCTTCATTAGTTTGTGATCATTTCTTTTATTCTTGTGACCTTTATGTTTAATTCAAGGGAGATATCGGAGAAATTAGATGTTAGTCACTCTTAGAGGTGAAAGGGTTAAAATAAAAACGATATAAAATAGGTCATTTGTTCTAAAAGATGTGTTTGTCATCCATTGGATTTCTAGATTTAAGAGCATTCAATTGTTTGTCTCACAAGTAAGAGTTATTGTCAATGATATTATGTAATTTAACATTTTGACACCTGTGCTTTAAGTCTTCATCACGTGAAGAGATCATACTGTTACACATTACTACATATAGCATCTGATCATGTGGTCTGAAGATCAAGGTGAGAGAAGTCCTGGGAAAGTCATCTCACTTTAATTTGCTTTTCCTTTCTCCCTTTTTCACTCGTGCTCTTTCCTACTCTTAGCTCATAGTAGTGAGTGACATTTGAAGAGCCAAAGCCAAAGTTGGAATTTCAGTCATTACACACAACATTGGTCTTTTTTAGAACTGTTTCATTCTCTCACCTACAGTACCACTCATGTATATGTTAACTGCACAGATGCTTTTCGTACGCTCAGAAGCAGGATAGTCAGACACACATATACACTTTTTTAAGTGCTCAGTTGCAAAAATCATCAATGTAGATGAATTGAATGTTTTAAATCCAAGTTTTATTTTGTAGGCTGGGCTCATGTTGTCTGTGCTCTCTACATTCCTGAAGTGAGATTTGGAAATGTTTCCACCATGGAACCAATCATTTTGGCATCTGTTCCTCATGATCGCTTCTGCAAGGTAATGGATTTGTTGGCCTTTTTGTTCATTGTAGTGTTGCTTCACATTCTCCACCAGCAGTTTTAATAAGCTATTAGGCAAACTAGTCTTGAAAATTGAACTGATTGTCAGCTGGGAGATATACATGTACAATGTGGTTTTGATCTATGTGTAAGGTAAGGAAAGGCTTTGGCTCAACCTGCCTTTTGTTTAAAAAAAAACCACATTTACCAACTCAGGGCACTTTCTTTCATACTTGTGTTTTCTATAAATTTTGGTCAGCAGGGAACTCATCATCCATTTCTAACCATTCTATAGCAAAACTAAAAGGAAAGTGAACCTCTGATAATTAAAAATGTTCATCATGTAAAACATTGTATCTGCCCTTTTCATTCTTTGGCATGCATATGCACAAGTTTGGCAGTAAAGCAAAAAAAAAACATAGCTTGGCCCTCTTTGACAATGCTTCAGATACCTGTTAAATTTGACTCAGTGTTATCATAGATGCTGATACCAGTATTGTGTATTTATGAATAACTACTGTAATCTGCATTTCTCATCAGACATGTTACATTTGTGAAGAGAGAGGAAGAGAAAGTAAAACAGCTCATGGAGCTTGTATGAGCTGTAACAGGACAGGATGCAGACACGCTTTTCATGTCACTTGGTAAACCATTTAGTTTCACACAATTTATGGTTGAGTTTTGAGGGCAATTTCTTGTTTGCAGTGGTTTTGCTGCTCTTTGTCTAATGATTAGTTTAGGAACGTTTCACCACCCACTGAACCCTTTTATACCCAGAGGTGATTGATATGTAACTTCTCCTCATAATATCCACATGTTATTCAGGAAACAGGTCATGAGAATACTCAAACTTATCAAGTAGAAGTTGTTATCTTGATTTAACACCAAATTCTAGTAATTGAGGTACTAGAGGAGGAAGATGTAGCAGCTAGAAGGGAGAATTAACAATCAGATCTCAGGGGTTAAAGGGTTAATGGAATCAAGAGCTAACCTGACTCTTTTGATGATGAGCAAAATACTGAATAGGTGATACCCTTTTAATTGAATAATTTCTTGTTTTTGGTTGTATTTCAGTGCACAGAGTTCTGGATTGCTGTGCGAGGAAAATGATGGCCAGTCAGGCCCTACAGTCAAGTATGTTGGTTACTGCCAGTTCCACTGGAACAAAAGGGTAATGCAGGAGTTTTGTTTGATCAAGTTTGTTTGTTTGTTTTCGAGGAGAAGGGGGGTGGGTGGGTGGATCAGACATTAGAGGTTGGGGAAGCTAATAACTTCATTAAAGTGAAGTGGGTAGCCATGAAAACCTTGTGAGTGGCATTCAGCCACATTTGTCTCACTGCTTACCAGTGGAAGAATACACAACTAACCCAGTATTTGTCATAGGGCAGGGAGGAAGAGGGAATAGCAACCCAAAATACATTGGTTCTGGTAAGCTGTCGAGAAAGCCTGACAAATCCTGGGGAATCAGACTAGTTTAATTTGTGTATTTCTTTAAGAAGGATTAGGGTATTTTTTACAAGAAAGAAAAGTTGGTAAAAACAAGAAAAGTACAAATCAACATCGGCCTGACATTGGTTTTCAACTACAGTAGATAATGTAACATTTATTTTTACTCACATGTAGTGTCTCATTTTTTAACAGGCTAAAGGTGTTCTGTTCAACAGTAAACCTGCAGAAAAAACGATCAAGATTCAAGAAAAGGACAAAGATATCAAGGAAAAAGATACAAAGAGCAAAGAAAATAAGGACAGAGACAGCATGGAAAAACCAAAGATTGACAAAGAAAAAGAAAAAGAAAAGAAAACTCCAAAACCAAGGTTGTCCACTGGTCCCACTGCTACATCTACTGAACAATCACCAAAGCCAGACAGCAATGCCACCACCAGTTCGTCAAGTCAGCCTTCCACTCCTAAACAAAGAGGAAGAAAACCGTCTACTGTTAAGACACCTACAGAGTCACCCAGTAATTCTAAGACAACTATAGAGACACAGAAACCACTAAACAGTATAACTGCCAATAGTCCTATCCAGTTGCCAGTGCCTGGAGTTGTACCACTGCCGACTCTGCCTGTTCAGAGTGGTACCTCCAGCATTGCAGTGGCTGCCACTAAGGACCCTATCCTAAGACCGGTGGGAGTTCTTGGCCCAGAGATGCTGCCCAAATCTGTATCTTCTCAGTTGCAGGACATTCCACAACCTTCTACCAGTGTACTAGTACCTGAGATAGCAAAACAAATGGACACAGATATACCAAAAGAAGCAATTGTGCCTAAACAAACAATCAAACAGACTGTGGTGGGTAATACTCAGGCTAAGAAACGGGCTGCACCCAAGAGTGGAGATGAACCCAAGAGAAAAGTTGGTAGGCCTCCCTTAAAGAAAAAACCGAACACGTCCTCAGTAAGTCGCAAAAATGGAACGCCAGTTTCTTCCTCGAATACAGTGACATCGCCTTTAAATACAGCATTTCCATCAACGTTTCCTCAGGACAACCTCGGGGCGTCAGCATCTGCTCCATCGTTGCCAACCTTTTCTAATCAGAATGTGCTTCCGAGCAACACCCAGGGAGCAAGTGTACGTCAGAATGGTCCAAGGATTCCAAGTCCGAACACATACACGATCCCACAACCACGAAACAGAGGACTTCTGGAGAACGGCCATGTACAACGGCCACCAAACAATAATGTGAATCAAGGACCTTTGTAAGTGGCCACTTCAATTTCTGTTTTTCGTAGCAGGTCTTATTTTCATTTTTTAGTCATGTGGGGAGTTGGAGAATTTTTCTATTAGAGGTCAATTTTCGATAGACCCCCCCCTCAAACTGACTGAGACCCCTCCTCCGTTCCCTTGTGCCCCTTCCCCCTTAAAAAAAAATATTTTTTTAACACACAACCCACAACCCCGCCCCACCCCACCCCCCGGACGATGATTGATAAGTGGTGCCGTAGCACTAGGGTATGGGTGTCTTTCAACGGGTGTCCATTTTTTTTAACACAGACAACTCCCAACAAGCTTAGAAGAACTTCTGGAATATCAGTGGGAACAGGGAGCCCAGTTTCTCATGCAGCAAGCGTCACAGTATGATGGTAAGTATATGAAGCGATATCTAATGGAGAACGCAACGAGTGAGACATGCGCCTCTCGCGCGTGTGTCGTCTTTCGCGTTCGCCTCGCGCGTCCCTCCTCTTGCTTAAAGGATGCAAACAAATGAAGTTTGTCCCACAGGCTGAAGGAATTGTTACCACAAAATGAAACACTCAGCCTCTAACCCTAAGAGTGTCTGGCTTCTAATTTCTCTTTGCAGTATTACCTTTGAATCGAATGATCACCGATTTTAGAAGTTCCAGATAGTCAATTAAATTTTTCTTGCTAGTATCGTTAAGACAACAGAGTGGGTAATATGAAGACTAATGGTAAGGCGTAGAAGAGTTCATTCTCAGAGATAGACAACATAAGAAGTATGATCATGTTGGATAAATTATGCCTTAGATCTTGGTATAGAGTCGAGCCTTGATCAGTTTCCGCATGGTTTTTATTCCTGTTTTTGTTTGTTTCTTTGTTTGCTTTCAACGGCCATGACAACAATCGTCCATGGAATACCCTTCGACACGAACTTTTGAATCGAGAGATTCAAACAGTAGTTTTCTCTTTTAAACACTCCACTATTTTTTTTTCTTCTCTCTGCTTCATAGTTGCGTCTCTGATGTCCAGCCTGCATCAGCTTAAAGCCGACAATTCACGCCTCGAAGAACGTCTGTCGACCCTGACAAACCGGAAAAACCAGTTATTACAAGTTAATGCCCGGCTGGCCACTCCCATGTCTTGCACAAACACAAGCTCTTCGGTCACGCCATCTAACGCGAAGCAACCTGCTGTGAGTGGTCCTGGCGTGACAACTGTAACGCAAGGTGCCTTGTCCACTGATACCAAAACCACACCGAGCAATTATGGTCCGCGAGGGTCCGTAAGTGCTGGCTCAGATGGGGCACCCAAAATGGATGTCTCTCCGGGCACTAAGGATGGTAAGGTCCCTCTGAGTTCTAGTGTTAAACCAGTGAATGGCAGCGTTGGAGAGAAGGAAATACCCAAAATATCAAATGGGGATTTGAAAGGTGGAAAGAACAAAGAACAGCAAAAGAAAGGTCCAGAGACAAATTTGAACATTGCGCTAAGTACGTCTTCGTCCTCGCCGTCCTTTCAGAAGCAGCCGGTGAAGGCAAGCAGTTTGCTTGTCCCGACGGCGGTAAAAACAGCACTGCCTCCTCAAACACTTTTAGCTCAGCAGGAAAAAGAAAAGCAGCAGAAACAAGCGCAGGTGAATTTGATGTCACAGGTTATTGCACCTGTTCATCCTACCTCAAAAACAACACAACAGGTACAACAACAACAACAACAGCAACAGCAGTTGCAGTCGCGTTTTCAACCTCAGCAAAAAATTATTCTTCCTCAGCCATTATCTACGAGTCAGGCGTTTGCAGCGCCATCGTTTCCTCAGACACAGCAGACAGCCAACCAAAAAGTGCTCTTGCAACTGATCCAACAGGGAGATGATATGCATCGCTTGTCCAGCCAGAATGCCGCCTTCAGTCACGATAAAACACAGCTGGTATCACAGCAGGTTCAGGCCCAGAAGCTGTTGCCAGGCACAGTACCTGCTCAGCAGTTCGCGACTCAGTCGCTCTCGCTTCCCAGCTACCCAGGTTTTTTGACATTCAGTGATCCAAGGACCGGGGCTCGTGTGGATATGATGAAGACCACGCATTTGGCCCCTCTTCCGATGGTCTCGTTGGACAACAATCAGACAGGCCCTAAGGAGCGTTCTCAGGTACGTAGGTGACTAATCTTTCTCGTTCGACTGACTTCTGGTGAAATTGAGCACTAAATGTTACAACCTTGATACTAAACCCTTTTTCATCTGTTTTGTGAGGGGCCCCCCCTCCCTAAAATGTGGTAAGAACACCAGTGACACACTCGCTTGTAGCTCGCTAGTCATATTTGTTACTCGCCACGTTTTGAAGTTTTTTGCGATCTATCACTTAACAAGTGCAATGCCCGAGTACAAGATTGAATCCAATCTCTACCTTTTCATATGTCGCCTGCTTTTAAGCCCGTATCATACTTATACGACAGCCATAAGTCTTGATCGTTGGTACTGCTTCCGGTTCACTTTCAGTATTTCGACATGGATAAAGGTTCCAACGCTGACAAGACTTCCAGAAACGGATAACGTCATGATTACCTGATCTCCCTGGTAGGTTAGCAGGCGCATCAACACCTGACTGAAGAGAAGACCGTCTTTCTCAAGGACAGCGGAAATCGAATTTAAATCGTTAAGTTAAATTGTGTATCTACATGCGTGGAAAGTGAGTCATTCAAGTGGGCCTCACTTCCACATCTCCTGCCTATATCAAGGCTTGACACGCCGTTCAAGGCTGCTTTGGCGTATCAAGAACTTCAGTAATGTTCGAAAATATCAGACAGAAATGGAAACGAATTTTCATGGAGCCAAAACTGGGAGGACAGCGAGTGGTTACTAGGCCAGCCACCCGTTACTAGCAATTGTGGATGATCAAATGAAGAGACCGACCACCCATTAAGGCTTTGTTCTATAGTCAATCCTCTAAGTTTCTCCTGGAGTCAAGGCATCTGGTCTAAAAATAATTTTACGTACTCCCTTTCCCCTTCCCGATTTTAGCTTTATTGTTCCATTAGACGCCGCAGGGCGTTCATGAAAGCAATATCCTCAATACGGTCCGCCTCTAGGTGTCTCAACGAGATCGTGCATCAGAGAGAGAACCTTTTTAAAATAATTATACATCCGTTGTAGCGAATGCAGTGGCACGTTTTGCAAATCGTTTGTATAAAGTTTTTACGTAGCTTTTAGACTTTCAACTGCATATGGCTTGCAGCCTTACTCTCGATTTGTTTTATTTTCATTATTATTTATATTAATATGCGAGAGTGCTCTTTTAGTTAGCTGCTAGCGCATACTTTCCCTTCCTTTCTCTCAAGGGTGGGTCATTGTTAGCAACTAAAATTGTCCAGAGATAGAGATAAAACGAAACGCAGTGTAATCTTAGAAGCAGTGCTCGTTTAAAGTTGTTTAAAGAGATGCGCGTTTTTTGTTTTGGATGCGCTTGATTATTTAACACATAATTATTCCAAAAACGTAGATGTTGCAAAATTCGTAAATTGCCATTGATTGGCTTGGAAAGTTTTGATTCGTTAGCGGCTTTCTGTGGTGCAGAGACGGATTTCAGAGAGTTATATTATGCGACGAGGTGTACATTTGCTTAATGTGTAAAGCTGATGATAAATATTTCATCGTGACTCTTCTTGTAGTTCGTGTTTGTTGTTATCTAGACATTTTGGTCCGCTTAAACTTGACTTGGGAGACTTTGCGTTTACAACAAAAACGATCACATATGCAAAATAGCTTTACGAATGTCATCGTGGTTCTCGATGATTTAACCGTCCGAATCTGCCGAAACCTAGCTTCCTGTTAAACAGATGTTGCTTTGGTTTTAAGAATTATGGAAAATATGTCTGTTTTGGGGGACAATTCTTAGGGTGTACCTATCCTCTGAACCCTGTGCAGGGCTCGATTTTTGACCATGGTGTTGGCGGTGCAGCGCGAACGCACCTAGATGTCTCCTGCTTGTACGTGCCGGTCCTGCCGTGCAGAAAACCTTGATCCTGCTTCAAGCATGTAAATAAATCAAGCAGGCTATTCTGCGGATTTCAAGGAGCGCATTGACCCCAAAGTCTGGTTTCCTTGATAGGGCAATCTCCAATTAAGTTTCGAAATTTATCTAAGACAAAACTGTTTTTCCTTTACTTTGCACTGCAGTATGATTGGTCCAGAAAACTCGCGCCGCCTTCTCAACCAATAAGACGCAAAACTAAAACCATAATCACGACTAGGTCGCTCGCGCTTCAGGCGGTTTCCTTTTTTTACTCCGAGTTGTCATTTGCTCCTCGTGATATTTGCCTTGCTCTAATTGGCTGTTGTGGCCGCTTTAGTTTTGGTCTCACGACTCTCGAAAATCGAAAAGCGCTTTATTTTGTTGGTTAATTTGCAATGTAAGTGGTCTTCCATCTGAATAATAGATTTACCCAACAAACACGCAAATCAGTCAACGAATCAAAAACACAAGAAGGTGATGCCATCATCAGCTTTAACTTTTATTGTTTCGTCTAAATATAAAATATATGCAACCGTTTTGCAAATTTCATTCATGAACAGTAAGAAACAAGTAATAATGTCGCCAAGAAATGTAAGAAACCCAAGGAAGTCTGTGCCATTTTCATTGTTCAATGTTTATATTTATGTCAAATTAAGCCACTGCAAAAGTCTTAATTACTTCCGGAATTTGCGAACCTTTGTAGATTTCGTTCCACCCCTGAACCTTGCGAAGAAGTTTGACAAAGTTGATTTTTTGTTTTTCTCATTTTCCTCTTCTTCCCAAGCATTTTTGTCCTTTAAATTCAAGGCAACTTGATTAGTAACGCAGACAAGACTTGAACTTGTTTGAATGTCCTCATCATTGTAGAGCAGATTTCCAGTTATTTCATCTGTATTGATTACATTAAAATTGTTTGACAGAGTGGGCGGTGATGGACCTTCGTCTGACTGCAGCGTTCTTACAATTTCCTCTGGAAGAACCAACGCGATATCGCAGTCAGTGTCCTCCTCATCTACTTCATATTCTTCAGCTGGCACCACCTTGTTCCTTTTAATTCTCCCTCTTTTCTTCTTCCGGTGCCTCACGACTTCTTTGGCGGAGTTTCTGTCAAGTAATTCTCCACTGCTGGTCCCGGCTTCCGGTACAATGGGATAAAACACACCTTCATCTACTTTCTCAATTTTCTTCACTCTCGTCTTTCGAACAAATCGGAATCTGACCCTACCGCTCTCGTTTCGTTTTAAACCAAAGCTGATCAAAAACATGAAAAAGAACACCATGGAAGATATCCCGCGAGATACGTGAGACATTTTTGCATGTAAATTTTTCCTTTTTCACAATGCACACTGATTGCGTCAAACGCTTATGTCACAATACAACTCAAATAAGAACAGTGCGCGCACGGTTCTCAAGTCAACATGAAAATTCTCCCTACTTACCATTTTATATTTCGTACAACACTTTTTGGGAGAATTCCACCAAGAAAGATACGACGTATTAAAATCACATTAAAGCTGCCTTTTGCTGCCGACATATTACTTTCGAATGAGATTAAAGGAAACTACAAAAATTACTTTGGGAACTCGTGGTTCGGTGGGAAAGAAATCAAAACAAGAAAGGCATTACGAACTAAGGAGGAACAAGACCAAGGCTGTACATGTAACAGCCAGTTTCTGCTGCACAGAGGGACCAAGATTTTTTTCCACTCATCGTCTGAGTTTGTAATTAAGCGTAAGCGTCCATGAAACAAAATATGAAAAGGAAGAGAATTTAACAATGATATCAAGTCTAACCGGTCACTCTTACTTTTTTCAATTTGTTTCCGCACAGTTTTGTTTCATTTACTTTGTTTCTTCAAGTTTACTAAGGCAAGACCCCACAGAACGTTAAATCTTATGAACTGTTTTTCTCTTAGACTTTTTTTCATCGAATTCAAGCCGGTTGAATTAGAGAAAAGTTGATCGGTCAGAGAGATCTACCCAAGCTTGAGATACAATCGAGTTAGTTTACGATAGAGAAGAAACTGGGCAATGACGTGACAAACGCGTGAGATCTGGGGTCTATTGTTGCATAGCAACGTTAGCAACGACCCCGCCATCTTTCAATAATACTGTGTGACTAGGAGATTTCTCAAGCTTGGAAAGTTAGATCATTAGTAATATGGCAACAATAACAGCAAGACGAAATCAAGACAAGATCGCCGAGAATCTGGAGCGCGAGACTCACTGTTAGTATTGCAATTATTCTTATATTGCACGTATTTCTGTGGTGTATCCAGTTGACTTGTACTTCTCGCACCATGTTTGAAATTAGCTGCTGCTCTCTTCTCCACTGCACTGAAAAGTCCCATGTAATCTAACCAGGCAGTTGAAAATGCTTTCAAAACTCATTTTGCTCTCAGTTTTGAATTTTTGCATCAATTTATCGAAAATTAAATATTCCTACTTTGTTGAGTTTCTGATTGTACGCAACTTAGCGATGAAGTGTTCGAATTCGAAAACCGATCGAGCACCTACCGATCATAGAGCTTTCCATCATCTTACGCCAGTTTAGAGTCAAACGGAATTAACGATGATGATATCAAATATTTTATTAGGTTAATTTTGATATTATGGGAAATTGACGTCAAGGAATCGCCAGATTCTGTGGTAATGCCCGATACTCGGCCACATAGGTGGAAATGCTTTAACCAGGCTATGAACACGAGAGGTGGAACTAAATTGATTATTGTTGCTGAATTATAGCTTAAACAGAGCCCCTTCCCCATCCAGTTCTATCTCTGATTATCTTCCCTCGCCCTCTTTTGTTTGATGTAACCAGTATGATGACAGGTGCTTAATAGTGACACCACATGCAGCAATCCAGTGATCCTTGATGGATTTGGCTGTATTGTCAATCAACATCACACCTGGGAAAGGAGACCAATCAGTGTTCATTTGGGAACATGGTGCAAAATAGAAATTACATAAAGTGAGATCAAGAATGCACAATGCTTTAAAATCATCATGATTATTTATATGTTGATGTCAAACAATTTAACTCATAATTCGCATTTTGTTGAATTAGTGTATTTCATGGTGATATTGTAACAGAATGGATTTTTGATGATTTTATTCTTAAAATTTTGCTCCAACTGGGTTTCAGTTTCTGGAGAGGAGGTCAAGAGCTTGTTAGGAATGTTTGAAAATAATGCAAAGAATGGGAAAATGGACAGGACAACATTTAGAGACATATTGTATAACGATTTTGGACTGACAGAGGATATCATTATGGACAGAGGTGAGCTTTTTCTTAATTATGATGATGATTAATTTTCTTTCTTCAATGAAGTGAGCCATTATCAGTAGTGATAAATTCAAGGCTTTCATTCAAGGTCATTGAAAAAAAGTTACCAAATCTCTATTATCCATGTACACCTTTAACTGATCAAGACAGATCCTATGCTATCAATACAATATTTAGTAGAAAAGTGATGAGAATAATGAGATTAATATCAATTAAAGGATAATTAGTTGATCCAATACCAAGAAGAATTTCTAAGGAGATTTTAGGAGTGAAAAGAGTAACCTCCCTTTTATGAGTATATGGCATTTGCAGATAATTTCACTATTATCATGGTTAATGGTAATCTTTTGTAAAGTCAACTTATGAGCCAGAGGGCCAACTGCAAAAGTTCATAGCCCTCTCTGAAGACTGAAGCAATTGGGAATACCACCACTCCTCTCCTCCCCCCTGGATGGGATCCCAGTCCCATCAAGTGAAGGCACATTCTATCCCCTTTGTTTACTAGTCAGAGTCCAGGATTTGCCCCATGTTGCCCTCTCACAGAGCCAAACCCATGATTAATATCTGCACAGATAATGAATCAAATAATTGAACTGGGCAAAGAAATAGATCTAGATGAAATCATGCACATATATACATGTAGATCACTGTTACTTTTTTAACCTCAAAAGTAATAATTGACTGAGTCAGATTGCTAGACGAAAAAATGTTCAGGTTGAGGTCTGACGTAGAGCTAAATATTTTTTGTTCTGACCCACAGTAACTCGGTCAATGAATAGATACTTTTTTTTTGTATGTTGATCACACCACACACTGGCTCTGGAAATTGGCTTATGCAGCCTTTTCACTCCTCCTTGTGCCATGCTAATACAAGGATTTTTGGTAGTGTTTTTAGTAGAGTATGAGCTGCATGATGTGGATCATACAATATTTAGTGCTTACTGTTTGTAGCATCCAGATAGTGTACATGTAAGAAAGCCACAGATCAAGATAGTTGTTGACATCATTCACCTACTATACAAAGGTATATACTAATTTATGAATTTATTTTTATTTTTTAGTATTCCGAGTTTTTGATGAGGATAATGATGGCAATCTTAATATGAAGGAGTGGGTTTGTGGCCTGTCAAAGTTTCTAAAGGGAACATTTAAGGAGCAAATGGATTGTAAGTTCTAGTTAACGAAAGTAACTAAAAACCTCTTCATAATGATAATGCATCTACTGCATATCCACAAATAAGGACCTAGGGGCTTATTTTATAATTTGAGCCAAAAAGAGGGGTGCTTACCCAAAGGAGAGTGCTTAATTCAGGGAGTTGCTTATTATTCACCTGTACTGATTCCACTGTAGTTTAAGTAAAAAAAGTTGTAATTTAAATAAAGTGGCAATAGAAACAGGTTTTTCCTTGTATCCCCACTATATCCAAGGAAGTGAGGGTGGAGGGGGCAGGCTTTTTTTAAGAGGGGCACTTATTTGGGAGAGGGCACTTATTTTAGGGAACATAGAGTCTCGATCAGTAACATACCATTTTTTATATTCCCCTAACCTTGAAACTGAGTAACATTTTTAAAAATTTTTTTTTCCTTACATAGTTTGTTTTAATGTGTATGACCTCAATGGACAAGGCTACATATTACGAGAACAAATCCAGCACATGTTAAAAGAGTGCATGGTCAAGGTAAGTTCAGGGGGGAGGGGTTCACAGACCAGCTAATGACATCTGCACCACAACCACATACAGTTAATTGTGCAATCTAGCTATTTTGTTATTAGTTGTGTTGGTGTTCAAATTTTTTTTCCCAGTTTAAAATTGTTGAAAAGAGTATGATTTTCACTCTCCTTTATCTTATAT